CTCGGCTCCAGGGCCAGGAGCGGTGGGTGTCGGGGGGGAGGGCAGAATCCTCATGTGAGGACTCCAAGTCCTGTACCCCCCGGGGCTCAGGCAAGTGGCAAATGAAGTGACGGGGGCTCCCTGCGGCTGGCTGGGCCCCACGGCACGACCTCGGGGACAGCCCCGGAAGGACGCGGGCCGGGATTTGCTTCCCGTGAACTGTGTCTTGTCCCGTAACCCATCCCCGGAGCCCAGAGGACGCAGCCCAGAGGCCGGGTGCCCGGCCCCTGCACCCAGCGGAGGGAGCAGGCGCCTGCCGGCAGGGCAGGGCACCCTCTGAGGAGACGGTCCCGGAGCCCGTGCCAAAGATGCAGCAGCTTCGCTACCTGCTGGGCACTGGCCTGGGCCTGGAGGGGACCCAGGAAGCCCAAGGGCAGGAGGAGGAGGTGGTGGGCCTCCCTCGTCCGTCCGTCCCTCCCTCCATCCCTCCCACAGGCTCAGGTTGGGACTGGCTGGACCAGGAGGCAGGAGGCGGTGGGGACAGGAATGGGGGGCCCGCACACACTCACCCCGAACATTTGCCGCAGGTCGGGGTCCCTGAACCGGAAGGGGATGTTGGAGACGTGGAGCCGCTTGGGGTGCTGCTTCTCTGTGGGGTCGGAGGGGTGGAGCGGCTGGCTGTCCGTCTGTGCCGCCTCGTCTGTCTGCTGTGGGGAGAGGACGGGGTGTGAGGGCCTCTCTCAGCTCCATCCCACGGGGGGCGGGGGGAGCTCAGAGACCAAGTCCTTCCCAGCCCCTTGGACCCTTCCTCCCGGGGCTGGGATCTGCCAGGGAAATGGGCTGAGACGCTCACAGGACACGGCCCAGCTGTGCCGGACGCCAGCGCGAGCCGGGCCTCCTTGGCCCTGTGTCCCAGCTCCGCTTGGCCCAGGTCTGACCGTGGTCCCTCAGCTCCAGGGACCATTGGGCCTCAGGGTCCCATGCGTGCCCTTTCCCGACAGGACCATTCAAGGCCAAATGCAAAGTGGGCATTTCCGAACCCGCCACCGGGCACACACATCCACCCCCAACGGGCGCCTGGGGGCTGCCTCTTAGCACTTTGGGGGCCACGCACAGTGACCAGTTCTGTCCTGTGTAGCAGGTCCTCACTTTGGACTCAAACACTGTTTCAGCAGCGGGGCTGAAGGCCCGGCCTCAGGGAGCAACGCTGCCGCTAGCCGCCCCCCCCTACCCCCCACGGGCACTGGCCTGGGCCTGGAGGGGACCCAGGAAGCCCGAGGGCAGGAGGAGGTGGGCCTCCCTCGTCCGTCCGTCCGTCCATCCGTCTCTCCCTCCCTCCCACAGGCTCAGGTCGGGACTGGCTGGACCAGGAGGCAGGAGGCGGTGGGGACAGGAATGGGGGGCCCGCACACACTCACCCCGAACATTTGCCGCAGGTCGGGGTCCCTGAACCGGAAGGGGATGTTGGAGACGTGGAGCCGCTTGGGGTGCTGCTTCTCTGTGGGGTCGGAGGGGTGGAGCGGCTGGCTGTCCGTCTGTGCCGCCTCGTCTGTCTGCTGTGGGGAGAGGACGGGGTGTGAGGGCCTCTCTCAGCTCCATCCCACGGGGGGCGGGGGGAGCTCAGAGACCAAGTCCTTCCCAGCCCCTTGGACCCTTCCTCCCGGGGCTGGGATCTGCCAGGGAAATGGGCTGAGACGCTCACAGGACACGGCCCAGCTGTGCCGGACGCCAGCGCGAGGCCGGGCCTCCTTGGCCCTGTGTCCCAGCTTCGCTTGGCCCAGGTCTGACCGTGGTCCCTCAGCTCCAGGGACCATTGGGCCTCAGGGTCCCATGCGTGCCCTTTCCCGACAGGACCATTCAAGGCCAAATGCAAAGTGGGCATTTCCGAACCCGCCGCTGGGCACACACATCCGTAGGGGTGCTGCCCCCCCACGGGCACCTGGGGGCTGCCTCTCAGCACTTTGGGGGCCACGCACAGTGACCAGTTCCGTCCTGTGTAGCGGGTCCTCACTTTGGACTCAAACACTGTTTCAGTAGCGGGGCTGAAGGTCCGGCCTCAGGAAGCAACGCTGCCGCTAGCCCCCGCCTCTCCCCCCCACAGCCTCCCCGTGGACACAGCTGGGA